AAAACTGATGGAAGTAATCTGCCTAACAACCTCGGAAGGACTGTGAGAGTCAATGACTCGCTTCCACTCCGTGGAGTCTCAGCCGGAAGCAGTCCCAAGTCTTAGCGCCTTCACCACAATGAGTTTTTTGTGTCGTGAGTCTCAAGGTTTTGGCAGCCATCCGAACTGGTCCTTTACTTTCAGATTCTTCTCCTTTGCGTCTCTGATCAAGTCGACACACACCTTCTCTGGGGATTTTACGCTGCGAGGGGTTAGGGTAATTCTAATTTGCTGAATTGTCACCTCTGGCTCCATGGTGTGTTCCCGGCATCTGTAAAGCCACGGCTGCAGTGCAGCCTCCTGCCTGACTTGCTCCTCAGCGAGGGCGAGCAGCGGTGAGTAAATACCGAGCAGGGGCCCGCGGCCCCACTACGCCTGCAACTGCATCTTCTTCACTGAAAGCTGAATTACTTTTTGAGAAAGTCTTGATCCTGGAATCTTTCCCTTCTCCTTCATGTTCTCTAATATTTGGCGATCTTATTAAATTCCTTCTTATACCGGTAGGTCCAAATTAAAAATCGCTTCAACACTACTTAAAGAAACAGATACCGGATGGCTGTGCCAGCGTTTACCTCAAGGGCTGCAATGGCCACCCGGCTGCCGAGGGGGTTGCCGCCGTATGTCGACCCGTGCTCCCCTGGCTTGATGGTCAGCATTATTTCATCATCACACAACACCGCAGACACCTGAAAGACAGCGAATTGACCACGTCATTTCTCAGCACTAAGCGTTCTTATTCAGAGCACACGAGAAACACAAACATTGATGTGAAGCTGCTCCAATAAACAAGAGCTCATGTCTCCCATCCTAACTACAAGTAACAGCCTAAGAAATACATCAGGCACACTCCAATGGCACACAGTACAATTTTGAACTAAAAGAGAAAAGTTATTTCTGTGATGATACAATTTACAATCCCTTCCAATTTCAAGGCGAAATGCTTTGTTTAAATGCGTAGAAAACAGGGGGCAACACTCACCTAGGTGATGGGCAGGGCAGGGAGTTGAGGGAGAGAGGAAGGAGAAAAAAAAATTTTAAACAAAAGCAAATGCTTAGAAAAGAGTTGAGCACTTTCTGCAGCAAAAGTTCAGTCTATTCAACAAAAATGTCTATGCTTGAGGGCCCTATAATCCAATACCAATCATTGACTCTGAAGAGCAAACTCAAGAAAAGAATAAAACATCAGTTTTTTCAATCTCTGTGTTCATCAGTCATGGTTTTAAACAATCAGTAATGCCATGTTTCTGAACAGTGGAAAAAAGGATAGGCGTCTATGGGAGTCCTTTGAGGTAAAATGCTCCCACCCAAATCAAATGCCATAGCAAATTCCAAGGCATACTCAATTCTTTCGTCAAAATTAACCAGTGGGTCACACACTGGAATCCTAAAATGTTTTTATTACAGATGTTTTATTCCAGGTGACCTACAGCACACTTGGAAAAATCAAACCATCTGAAAAGCATCATTGTCACAATCGATTAATGTCAAAATACGTTAGGGGTATATTTCACCAGAGCAGGGAACAGAGAGGCTGGACATTAGCCTTACAGGGTATAAGCCCCCAGAAAGGGCCTTTCCAAGAAGGACTATATCAGGTCTGACGTTTTCATGATCCACTGCCAGCCATCTGCCAGTTCTGGCCAATCCTGTCTGTATTTCATCAGCAATAAACAGAACCTATTGGGAAAAAAATGTAACAATATTAATTAGCATTTTTGTTTCTACGAAGAACATAGCAATCTTTATTTCTCCCCACAACCCCTGTCCTGTTAGAGCTAGGGTATGCCCAGAGTCTAGGCTATGGCCAGTGCTCCAGAGACAGGAAAAAGTCAGCTGCTATGCAGGTTTCTAAGCACTAAAAAGTTCTTTAGCTCTTAGAACATCATCTCCCTCTAGTAGAAGCGTGATTTAATCTTTGCATTTATCCTATCAGCGGAATTCAAACAGATGAGGGCAGTTAGGAGCTGCTTTGGCCTCATCACCAACAGTTAACATGGACAACCTGGTGCCTGGTGCAGAGCTCTCGCACTCCCACGAGGTAGCCGGGATCCGGAACAACAACACCCGCTTCGCCCTGAATTGGCTCCACCATAAACGCGGCAACATTTGGGTCCTGAAGAGCACGCTACAAAGAAAGAGGAATAAGTTTTAGTAACTTCCTTTCTACCATATTTGGAAATCTGAAATCATATACTCTACATATTTCCCTGTTAAGTATGCAAATCAAGTTTTTGCACTAACTTATATTCTGACTTCATAAGTATATATTTTTCAGTGACATTAAATTAACAGAAGCTCCAAATACTTCAGCTTTAAGTTACACCTACCTATATTTCCTAATACATAAATGTACTATAAATAAAACTTAAAGTAAATGGCCTTTTAAAGCCATTTTAAGGCTTTCTTACAAAAGTTTTCCATTTCATAATTTTAAAAATCTAACTGAAAATAGAAATTTTACCTAGTAATTAAACAGGTAATACCTAAGTTAATTGTTATGAAGGATAGAAATCCAAAGTGGTTGGGTCATTTGTAAGGATTACATCACAGAACCCAGTTTTTCCTGTGTTGGAAACTAACTGACCATTACTAAAAACAAGTCTGAAATCTTGGCCCAAGCTAAATGAGATAAATTTTCATTACTGTTATGTAATGTATTTTTAATCCATATACTTAACAGGTTTAACTTCTATTTACTATGAGCTAAGTACCATGATACTAGTGAAGTACCTCCAGTGCAGACAGATCATTATATGGAATGATTTCAAATCCTGGCATAAATGGTCCAAAACCATCATAACTGGTTGGGTCCGTGGAACTGGAGATAGCAGACAAAGTCCTACCCCAAAAGTTTCCAGCTAGAAAGGAGAAACAAACAGTGATTATTTCAAAGACATCCCCAAATTCGATAAGCACTGTGCCCCCCAAAATACCATGGGAAGTTTGACTAAAAAAAATAAATCAAGGGTTTGCTTTAGCAAACCGTCAGTGAGTTTACCATTGTTAAAAAAAAATCTGCTATTAGACACCATGGTTCCTAATGGTTCATATGACATAAGACCACTAGGTCTGGCCTTGCAATAGCTATGTTAATGTTAGGAACTTCTCTACTGAGCCTCTTGATTGGAATATATAGCCCCTGAGGATAGACAACTTACTTTTCTTTCAACTCAGTACCAAACCCTAAGAACTGAGGTGTTCAATCCATGTTTTCTAGAGAACGTGCATTTATGATATGGTATGAGAAAGACAGTATCATAGACAATCTAGCAGTTTTCCTTTTAAAAATCCAACACTGCAAGCTAACTACAGAATACATTTTCAATTTCATCTGGAGAAAAGAGCCTCAGGCAAACACATTCTATTTTGCCTTCATTAATATTATAATTCTCTATAATGCTAAATGAGACATCTGCCTTTCTTCAGATTAACGGATTTTATCCATTAATAAAGATGACTGAGGACCTACTATGTCAGGTGCTATTCCAGGTGTTGGGGATGAACAGTGACCACAACTGGCAAGCTCCCTGCGCTCAGGGAGCTTCCCTTCCAGTAGGGAAGAAACACCTACCATAAACCAGTAGAGCAAGTGAGCTAGAGAATTTCAGATTGGGTTAAATTCAAGAAGGAAAGAAACAATGTAGAATAACAGAGGGGCTGGGGGTTCACCCAAATTAGGAATGTTTTTATATCTTCTCACCATCTCTGCCGGCAGCAACTCAATTAACTCAATGCTGGATTATTATATTTTTGGCTTCGTGGCATTTCTAAATACTATCTTTGCAAAGCCTCTTTCACCTACATCTCTTACCTAGGAGTAATCCGTCTTTTACTCTTCCACAAACAATAGCATGTTGATTTGACTAGGCTTGCTTAAGAAAAAGGCACTGATTAGACCATGAGCCTATTTGCTCTCCCCCACCTAGGAATCTCATCCTCTGTAGCCCACCCTGCAGGTATGAGGGGCTTCCATTTGGGGATCGTTTTCCTCTGTCTCTCTACCCCATTTGCTCACCAGCTTCTTTCAATACTCGGGTGATACCATGTTTGCACCCTTTGCTATTATGAAAGAGACTAAACACAGTCTATAAGAACGAAAATCACCAGAAATAGCATTTTTGTTTGCAAGAAACAGTTATGTTGTCCTACAAATAAGGCACAAGATTTTAAAATGGCAAGTTACAGAGCTGTGCAAAAATTTCTTCTTGAGGAATACTAATCTGTCATCTCAAAAACATCTCGCCATCAAGTGAACTCTGGATTCTATTATACTAAGGGGTTTATAATTTAACTGCATCCATTTACAAGGCAGAATATTTAATGATTTCAACTATCACAAGAATGAACTTTGACCATGTACACTCACAAATTTATGCATACTTTGGAGAGGGGTTTCTGTTGTATTTTGGGTTTTTTATTTTTGCTGCATCCATTTACAAGGCAGAATATTTAATGATTTCAACTATCACAAGAATGAACTTTGACCATGTACAGTCACAAATTTATGCATACTTTGGGTTTTTTCCATGTTATTTTTTTAAATCTTTTTTGATTTTTATTTTTTGTATAAACAGGGTCTCCCTATGTTACCCAGGCTGGTCTTGAACTCCTGGCCTCAAGCGATCCTCCTGCCTTGGCCTTCTAAAGTGCTGGGATTATAGGCTTGACTCGTGGCCCCAGGCCAGGAGTCCCAGACCAGCCTGGTCAACATAGGGAGAGATCCCCCCTTCTTTACCAAAAACTTTTTTTTTTAATTTTTTTTAAAAACTAAAGCTTAAGGCTGGGTGCGGTGGCTCACGCCTGTAATCCTAACACTCTGGGAGGCCACGGTGGGAGGACTGCTTGAGGTTAGGAATTCGAGACCAGCCTGAGCAATAAGCAAGACCCCGTCTCTACTAAAAATAGAAAAATTAGCTGGGCATCAAGGCACGTGCCTGTAGTCCCAGCTACTCCGGAGACTGAGGCAAGAGGATTGCTTGAGCCCAGGAGTTTGAGGTTGTAGTGAGCTACAATGACATCACTGTACTCTACCCAGGGCAACAGAGCAAGACTCTATCTATCTCAATCAATCAAAATAAAAATTAAAGCTTAAAAAAAAAAGGTCAGAACCTATCATTTGAATATAAACAATACAAAAGTCAGATTACATCTTCCTGATTAACTATTAGTCTCCTTAACCAGAATTCAAATTATTCCTCTCAACTAGTCCAGAAGTATAACAAAGGCAATGCCAGGCCTCCTCTTGCCAGTACCTCTAAGAAGAACATGGCACAACAGCACATCTGATAGCAAGACTCAAACCTCATATCCTAGGACATGGCCCCACTCTAACTTCACCCAATCCTAACACCTAACTAAAACCCTCTACCAGCAAACCAGACTATCTAATTACCTAGAAAACTGCTATGGGAAAAAATCTGATAAGCAGATGAGAAATCCAACCATAGAGTCACTCATTACAGGGAGATAAGAGTACGGAGTTAAGAAAGAAAAATC